GCATGGGGTTAAGTTTCAACACTGAAGCTACGGACAGCCACTGCAATTGCAGCGCGAGTTCCATCCCCAGCTGACCAGAGAGCTAACCCTCATGGCACAGCAGACCTCTCCTGTCTCACCCGCTGCTCCCCTCAGCAGTGTATTTCAGTCAATGTGTCTGTTTGGCTCCCCACTCTGTCCCTGGTAAATCCTCTCACCCTCCCGCACATTTGGCCTGTACCTGGTTCTTGTATATATAAATAAATCTTTAAAAAAATGTATTATCAAACCATAAAAAAGACACAGAAGAACCTCAAATGCATGTTACTAAGTGGAAGAAGGCAATCTGAAAAGGCTACATACTGTATAATTCCTACTATATGACATTCTGAAAGAGGCAAAGCTATGAGATAGTAAAAAGATCAGTGGTTGCCAGGGATTGGAGGGGAGGGAGGAGTGAATAGGCAAACCACAGAGTTTTTCCAGGCACTGAAATTATTGTTTGTTATTATAATAATGGATACATGTCATTATGTTTGTCGAAACTCATTCAATGTACACCACCAAGAGTGAACCCTAATATAAACTATGAACTCTGAGTAGTTAATGTGTCAATGTAGGTTCATAGATTGTAACAAATGTACCACTCTGGTGTTGTAGGAAGTTAAGATAGTGGGGGAGTGTAAAGGGCAGGAAGGAACAGTGCAGGTTTCCTATGATTCCAGCAGACAGGTGAAGGAGGAGTCCTAGAGAGTCCTGGAGCCCTCAGTTTGACTTTTCAGGCTTTTATTGGGATTTACCAGGCAGGGGTGCTGGGGGGCCAGGAGGCTGGCAGGCCTCCCAGCCCCCAACAAGTCTTCACTCTGTCTGGGTTCTCTGGCGTGCTCTCGCATTCTCTCTGCTTCTCTCATGGTTCTTCTAGCGTCCCTGTGATGCCGCACTTATAAGCCCAGTCTCAGCCCAGGTGAATCCCATCTACCTAGGCCCACATCCTATTCCAGGTGCCTGCCATCAAGCATACATTCAGGACCGCAAGGATCCCCATCATCAATCCTAATGGCTGGAGGGCAGAAAAGTGTGATGCATTTTCACTTACCCTACAGGGAGGCTGTGCAAGTATGGGGGCAGGGAACATATAGGAACTTTTGGTACTTTCTGCTCAATTTTGCTTTGAACCTAAAATTGCTCTAAAAAATAAAATCTATTAAAAAAGCAAAAATAGGGCCTCCCTGGTGGTGCAAGGGAATAAGTCTCAGCACTATGATGCTCTCTTAGCACCACAGCAGCAGGGAGCTACCCACAGGGCACAGCAGACCTCTCCTTGTCTCACCTCCTGCTACCCTCAGCAGTGTATTTCAGTGGATCTTCCTGTTCTGCTCCCCATTCTATCTCTGGTGAATCCTCTCATTCCCTGCACCTCTGGCCTAGACCCCAGTTCTTGTATGCATAAATAAATAAAAACAAATCTTTAAAAATAAAGACACAAATAGGTTAAAAGTAAAAGTATATAAAGAAGATGGACAATTGGCCTCCCCTGGTGGTACAGGCGGTTGAGTGCAGTGCTGTGAAGCTGTCTACAGCCTCTGCAGCGCAGGTTCGATCCCAGCTGGCCAGGGAGATACCCACATGGCGAGGCAGACCTATCCTTTCTCGCCCGCTGTTCCCCTCAGCAATGTTTTCGGTCCATCTGCCTGTTCTGTTCCCCGCTCTGTCTCTGGCAAATCCTCTCACCATCCCGCACATCTGGCCTGTACCCTTGTTCTTGTATGCATGAATAAATAAATCTTAAAAAAAATCAAAATAAAAAATACAAAAAACCTTCATTAGGAAAAAATAGGTGGACAATGACAACACTAGTGTAGGGCTTCAGCTACAGGTGGCAGATGAGAAAACAGGAAGTCCATGTATGGGGAGCAGGAAGATGTCTTTATTATGAGGCAGCAGGAGATTCACAGGCAGTATTCAGCAGCGACAGCCCCTGGGCTCCAGCTGCAGCAGTGGCACCATGCCTGCTGAGTGTCCTGTAAGCGTCCAGTGGATGGCCAGTGAGAGGCTCCCCTGGAGGAGCCCTATTAGCTTTTATATGATTTATAGACAAACCCAGCACAGGCCAAGTTTAGGCTTAGTTTACAGAGTAGGTTTCTCCCACACATGTTATATTATTATTTACTACTCTTCACACATGAGGACTACATCTCAAGGCTACATGTTGTCTACTTGACTACCTGTACTGGAAGGTGTAGAGTCAGGAATGGCCACTGAGCAGGTTTTCTAGGATCCCATGCAGACTGGGTAAAGGAGGAGTCAGAGTTCTCAGTGGTTTTTTTTGCAGGTCTTTTATTGGGATTACCAGGTACACAGCAGGCAGGGGTGCTGGGGGGCCGGGAGGCTAGCAGGCCTCCCAGCCCCTAGCAAGTCTTCACTCTATCTGGGCTCTCGGGCCTTCTCTGCTTCTCTCTCGGCTTTTGCTACCTCTTTCTCGGCTTCTTGGCTTCTGCTGGCGTCCCCGTGACGCCGCCCTTAAAAAGCACAGTCTTAGCCCAGGTGAATCCCATCTACCTATGCCCACACCCTATTCCAGGTGCCCGCCCTCAGGCATGCATTCAGGACCGCAAGGATCCGTCATCTATCCTGATGGCGGGAGGACAGAAAAGCCTGACATTTTTCCTTACCCTACAGAAGGTCACGGTGAAAAACAGTCTGAGAAAACTATGTTTTCTCATGGGTCCTACGACTAGTCAAAAGAACATTTGAGGGGCTATAATAACTGTCGGGCTAACTAGATTTCAGAGCAGACAGAAGAAATAAAGATAGCAATTTATAATGATAAAAGGGTAAATTAACAAAGAAGACATAATTGTAAAATTTGTGCACCTAATATAATAGCTTCAAAATACATGAATCAAAAATTGATAAAGTGCAAGAAGAAATAGACATATCCACAAGTCTAATCAGAAATGTCACTACAGTCTCTCAATAATTGATAGAACAAGGGGCATAAGATCAGCAAAGAGACAGAAGTGAAAAACACTATCAACCAAATTGACCTGGTTGACATTTATAGATCACTCCACAAGAAAACAAGAAGGTAGGGACTTCCCTGGTAGCACAGGGGTTAAAGACACAGCGCTATCAAGCTTTTGCCAGCCACTGCAGCAAGAGTTCCATCATACCCAGCTCCCAGAGAGCAACCCACATGGCACAACAGATCTCTCCTGTCTCACTTACTGCTCCCTTCAGCAGTGTATTTCAGTCAATCTGCCTGTTCTGTTCCCCACTCTGTCTCTGGTGAATCCTCTTATCCCCCGTACCTGTGGTCTACAGCCCAGTTCTTGTATGCATAAATAAATACATCTTTAAAAGAAAGAAAATAGCAAATTACACATTCTTTTCAATTTTTTCAGTATATATGCTGCCGAAGTGAGCACCTACATATTCTTTTCAAGTGCTTGGTGGAGTATTTACCAGGATAAACCAAATTCTAGGTCACAAAACATACATAATAAATTCTCTAAAAAGAATGGAATTAAATCACATATTAATAACAGAAAGTTCTCTGGAAAATCCTGAAATGTTTGAAAACCAAATAATCCACTTCTAAATAACCTATGGGTTCAAGAAGAAATCAAAAGGGAAATCAGGAAATGATTTGAACTGAATGAAAATGAAACTTACAACATATAATTTTTGGGATTCTGCTAAAGCAGTAGTTAGGGGGTAATTTTTTTAGGGGGTAAGTTTAAAATATTAAAAACCTTATTAGAACAGAAGAAAGGCCTCAAAACAATGACTTTAGCAAAAAGAAGAGTAAATAAAACACAAAGTAGAACCAAAATAACAAAGGTCAAAGTGGAAATCATGAACTAGAAAACAAAACAGTAGAGAAAATCAACAAAACTAGATCCTTGTATGTCAGCATTCACTGTAGCATTATTCACACTAGTCAAACATTGGAAACAATTCAATTGTCCATTAATTGATAAAAGATTAGCAGGAATAGTCAAATTCGTGTAGACAGAGGTTGGTTTCTAGGAGCCCTGGGAAGGGGGAAATGAAGAGTCCTGCTTAATGGATTCTATAGAATTATCTGTTTGGGGTAATGAAAAGTTTTGGAAATAGATAATGATGATGGTTGGACAACACTGTGAATGTACTTAATACCCAGAATTGTACATTGAAAATAGTTAAAATGGCAAATTTTGTTATATATATTTACCACAATTAAAAAAAATTAATGTAGCATACCAAAACTCATTGAATTTACAATTTAAATGGGTGAATTGTATGGTATGTGAATCTCAACAAATCTGAGTTTTTAAAAGATTTATTTATTTACGCATACAAGAGGTGTGGTGCAGGCCAGAGGTGGGGGGTGGGGGAGTGGATTCACTAGAGACAGAGTGGGGAGCAGAATAGGCGGACCTACTGAAATACACTGCTAAGGGGAGCAGCGGGTGAGACAGGAGAGGTCTGCTGCGCCATGTGGGTCAGCTCCCTAGACTGCTGGGGATGGAACTCGTGCTGCAGCTGCAGATAGCTTCACAGTGCTGTGCTTAACCCCTTGCGCCACCGGGGAGGCCCTCAACAAATCTGATTTTAAAAAGAATACATACTGTACGATTCCATTTATATAAAACTCTAGAGAATGCAAATGAATATACAGTGGCACGGCAACCCTAATTAGCTTACTACCTTATTTTCTTATATCGCCTCCATTTTTCCTAAAACTTTTCAAGTTTCCCTACTGCCTCTTTATGTTAATATTGGTCCTGAGGAGGAAACAGTGTTCTGGAGAGGGAGAGGCAGGCTTTGGCATCCCCTTACCTGTAAATCTCTGGGGATCAGGATCTAAGTCATTGTAGCTTACCGGAAGGTGTAGTTTAGAGCCTGTGACTTGCGGACAGCGAGGCGGACCCTAGGACTGCATTTCCCAGAAGGCTTGGGAGCCGAATGGAGATTGCGACCGACGACGGGGTGGGACTGGGTCGCGCCCGGATGTGGCGCCAAACCGGCGGAGCTTGCTTAGCCCAGAGAGAGAAGCCCGGGAGGCTCCGCCAGCTGCGGTTGAGCCGCGCGGGAGAACGAGCACTTTGCCGGGTAATCTTTTTTTGAGAACTCTCCCCCCCCCCCAGACGAGCCCCACGTCTCTCCCCCCTTTTTCAAGAGTCTCCCCATCCCCAAGATAGTTGTCTTATGAGCCACCACTTACATGGAAGGTATTTGAGGGTGGGATGAGGTGTGCGTGTATGGAGGAGATTGAGCAGCTCTTCTGTTTATGATTGCAGTGCGGGGTACCTCTCTGTCCTAGGCTCAGTCTATACGGAATCCCAGAACCGATTGCCCTTGGAGAGAAGGATGCGAGGGAAGTGCCCAGTCGGCTTGTGGTGGCTATTCATGGGTCAGCAGGATACTCTCGGGCTTGTGGAGTTTTCACATGGCCACTTTAGCCCCTAAGTGTACTGAAATCTTTTGTTTTTTATTTATTTATTTTTTTTGGTGGGACCCTCGCCGGTGGCCGGGGATCGAATTGGCCATGCAGAGGCTGCCGCAGCGCCAGCAGGGGAGGCCCTCCTGATGTCTTTTTTGATTAGACTCAAACCAAAGAAGTGAGTCTTCAATAAGAAAGGGGGACATCTGCTGAACTGTTGTGACTTCAGAAAGTTACTGAGTTCAAATTTATTAGACTCAGACTTGTGGAAAGGGAGAAACTTTGAGGAGAGTGTGTGAGAAATAGTAGTACTTTGAGCTGCCTCCTTGTCTTCATTGTTATTGGGTCTTTAATATTGTGCATTCAAATTAGGACAAAACTGACAGCTGTGCAGACTGTACATGTCAAGGATGATTTGCAGAATAGATTGGGAAATTTAGAAAAAATGAAATCCAAGGTTAAGAATGAATGAGTAACTTGGAAGGGAGCCTTAAAAAAAAAAGATTTATTTTTATTTATTTATGCATACAAGAACTGGGGTGTAGACTAGAGGAGGGTTGAGGTGAGAGGATTCACCAGAGACAGAGTGGGGAGCAGAACAGGTGGATTGACTGAAATACACTGCTGAGGGGAGCAGCAGGCAAGACGGGAGAGGTCTGCTGTGCCATGTGGGTTATCTCCCTGGCCGGGGATCAAACTCTTGCCGCAGTGGCTGGTGATAACTTGATGGTGCTGAGACTTTAACCCCTGTGCCACCAGGGAGGCCTAGGAAGGGAGCCTTCTGAGGTGCTGGCCTCTGTAGCTCTGGGCCTCTCCCATTTTCCAGTGAGAGGCATGACGGAGGCTGAGAGTAGAAAATCTGGAATGGGGCAACATAAAACCAAAACTGGAGGTGTGGTAAAAATGATGAATATAGTTGTTAAGCCAGCTATAGAAATGAAAATCCCTAGGCACAGATGGTGTAGATAAAGCATATTGCTATAGAAAGTGTCCCGAGACCCAGAGGCAGGGATATGGAGTTTGAGGGTCATTATTGAGAATCATCACTCCTTACAAATCAACCTAGTCACACCCTAAAAGTGATTAATTTAATAATAGATAACAATTCCATAAAGGAATGAACCCTGTCCAAAATAACATTATATCTGTAAATCTCCACACTGGCAAAGACCCTTTTTTGGCCTGCTGGTGTCTGTGTGTCTTCTCTCCGTTTACTAATAAACCTGTCCTTTTAAAATGTAACCTCCTGCCTGTGTCTGTGCAAATATCTTCATCTTCTGGGTAAACTTGTCTTGGGCTGCTGAAAGGGGACCTCTGCTGAAATTTTTCTCAGAGGTAACTTACCCAAGGACACTGCTCACTGAACCCAACATCTCATCAAAACAACATCAGACACACGTGAAAGTTCCCTGAGCTCCTCTGATAGCTACCTCACAGTGTTACTGAGAGGCTTAAATAGGATATGTCAAAGTACTTTGCACAATTCCTATAATAGGCTCTCAATTCTTAGTTTCTTTTTGTTTCCCACATAGTAACCTATTTTCTCTGAAACATGCATTGTTTTTTTGATTGCCTTTTTTATATAAGTCCTGCCTTTGCCAAGAGGCCACAAACTTCTAACATTCTTTTTTTGGTTTTATTTTTACCCTTTTTTGAATCCGTCATAGCAGTCATTGCCCTTAGTGGTACCTGAGAGAGTGTGGATAGTAGTGATAGGGTGGGGGGAGGAGCTGTGGGTGTTCCTTAATGGGATAGTATCATGCTACATCAGGTAAACACTCTTTTCTTATATAGGTGATGAACAGCCTAGAATATTTGCCTTTCTCTTGTAATTCCTATCCTCCCAGAACCCCCAACCTTTTTAAAAAAAATATTTATGCATACAAGAACTGGGGTGTGGGCCAGAGTTGCGGGGAGGTAAGAGGATTCACCAGAGACAGAGTGGAAAGTAGAACAGGTGGATTGACTGAAATACACTGCTGAGGGGAGCAGTGGGCAAGATAGGAGAGGTCTGCTGCACCATGTGGGTCACCTCCCTGGCCGGGTATCAAACTCTATGCTGCAGTGGCTGCTGATAGCTTTATAGTGCTGAGACTTAACCCCTTGTGCCACCAGGGAGGCCCATCCCCAGCCCTTTTAAAAAGTATTATTTTTATTTTTAGTATTTAAAAGCCATCTTAAGTGTCTAATACACTAGTATAAACCATATATGCAAATTGTTGTGCAACAAATCTCTAGAATTTTTTCATCTTGCAAAACTGAAACTCCATTAAACAACTCTATTTTCCCCTCCCCCAGCCCCTGGCCAAACCATTGTACTTTCTGTTTCTATGAGTTCGACCATTCTAGACACCTCAAATAAGTGGAATCCTGTAGTACATTTTATGACTGGCTTCTTTCACTTAGAAGAATGTCCTCTAGGTTCATTCATGTTGTAGCATATGAAAAAAGGCTGAATCATAGCACTTTCTCTCAAATATGTACGTACATACATAACAGTCTGTCTACATTTTCTTTATCCATCCATTGGTAGACATTTGATGTATATTTAGGGTTGCTTCCACCTCTTGGCTATTGTGAATTATGACACAGTGGACATGGGTGTGAAAATATGCCCTCAAGATCCTGTTTTCAATTATTTTCGATAGATTTTTAAATTAAAAAATTTATAGAGAATTTCAAACATATGTACAAGTAGAGAATAATGTAATAAACATGTGGGCTGAACAAATGAGTCAGATGTACAAAGCAGCTCCCCCCAAATACCTGGGACTTTTGTTGAACTCTCCCTTTCACAGAGAGTGTGCTGTTTGGGGTTTTGTTTCAGATATAGAATATTCTAGCTACATTTCATCATCTAGGTCCCCATCCATCAGTGTGAATTGAGAGCCCATCTGCAGACCATATATTGGTAGATAAAAGCAAGTAGAAGTGATATAGATGCTTCTCCCTACACATAGAGATAAGGAGCAGAGCTTGGTATGCAAAGTACCTTAGAGTTCTTCCCTAGTTCAACAACCCCCCTCAGATGTACTATGGTCCTGAGATGTCACATTGAGCAGAGATGTTGGTCACTGGATGATACCCAGGGGAGGGTGGAAGATGGGTTGTACAGACAGTAATTGCTATAGAAATTCAGAAGAGAAAGAAATCGATCCTGACTGGGAAAGTCAAGGAAGGCTGTTGTCAAGGAATGTGGTGGTGACTTTGCCGTATGTCCATCATCCTTGTGTTTGATATTTATGTCTATTCCTAGATGAAAAAAGACAGCTGGTGATCAGTGAATACCCTGAGATGGTTGCCTACCAGAGCTGAATTATGCTCTAAATTTCTTTGAGCTGTGGGACCTGTTCTAATGAAGGTTTTTAAAGTGGAATGAATGCCTGGCTAGTCAAAAATGACTCTGTCGGGAGAGAGCTACCTTTAAAGTGTTCCTGTATGAAGCATACTCTAAAGGCCAACTTTTCTTTTTTTAAAAGATTTATTTATTTCTGCATACAAGAACTGGGGTACAGGCCAGAGGTGTGGGGGGGTGGGAGGACTCACCAGAGACAATGGGGAACAGAACAGGTACACCGACTGGAATACATTCCTGAGGGGAGCAGTAGACGAGACAGGAGAGGTCTGCTACACCATGTGGGTTAGCACCCTGGCCAGTGGGGATCAGACTTGTGCTGTAGTGGCTGACAATAGCTTGATAGTGCTGTCTTTGATGCTAGCACCACCAGGAAGGCCCATTTCTGAGTTATTTTTCTATAGTCAAATACAGTTGACTATCCCCTTTCCTCCATATTCTGACACTTGAAGAAGTTATGCTGAAAGGATCAGGTCTGAAATTAGGGCAGTTGCTAAGAAGCTAATAAAAATGGAGTTCCGTGGGGGCACTGACAGGGTGAAGCATTGGGAGTGCATAGTAAACATGCTTCTTGGAGATCATCTGTGCCTTACCATTAATTCTCAAATACTTGATTCATGTAGTCATGAATTGACCTATAGTTTTGATCTATAGTTTTACTCAGATGAGGTGAAAGGAATAAGACCTATGGTTTGTACAGCATTGTAATCATATTACAGAACTTTTATCTTCCTCAGCAGTAAAATAGAAGAATTATCATGAAGTCATAGTAGTTTAAAACACTTCACTAGTGCTTCCTGTGTGCCAGGCATTAATAATTACTACTTGTGCATTCTTTCATTTAATCCTCTAGTTAAAAACTTACCCATGTTCATAGAGCTTAGGAAAAGGAGGACTGGTGTTTGACTCCACGTGGTCTGACCTCAGAGCCTGCACTCTTATCCACTTCTCTACATGACTGAGCCTGAATGGTGTACCTTGCTTTCCAATATTATATCACTGTTTTTCAAGAGTGGTGGTCCCTATGCTTTGTCTGTAGCCACAGACTCAGAGTGAGAGTTGTGTTTCTTTTGTTTCAACCTTGGGAACCCTCTATCTATAACAGTTTTAAAATTAGTTACCATTTATTACACACCTGCTATACTTTAACAACTTTGATAAGGTATCTGCAGACGCATGACAACAATGTAACAAATACCTGTATGTGGACTTTTTTTTGAAGATTTTATTTATTTATGCATACAAGAGCTGGGGTGCAGGCCAGAGGTGCAGGGAGGTGAGAGGATTCACCAGAGATAGAGTGGGGAGCAGAGCAGGCGGATCTACTGACATACACTGCTCAGAAAAGCAGTGGGAGAGACAGGAGAGGTCTGCTGCGCCATGTTGCTGCACCTCCCCCTCCAGTGACCTTTAGGGCTAATGGCTTTCGCCTCGGTCCCTAGGTCCAGCTGGGCAAGGAACCAGCGCGCAGGGGGAGAACAGCAAAACTCCCTGAAGCAGGGGGAGAACAGCAAACCCCCTGAAGACATAGATAAGACAGAAGCCTGTTGAAAGATCACGGAACCTTATCTCGCCTTCTCAAGGCCCACAAACTTTATTCTAATACAACTGTCTCTCTAAAATCTTTTCTCTTTCTAAAATCTTTTCTTTTTCTCTGTCTAAAAAGGTCATTGGTTTGCTGATTAAAAAAGAACATACAAAATCTAATAACTAGACTAATTCAAATGAAACGTTACTAAACACTGTGTATTAATAGAACTATTAGCTTAATAATTTCTCTGTTATATACTTAGCCTTGTTAGCATTAATCTTAATGATAAAAATATTACATTGTGAAAAGTATAACTCACCCGTGCTAATTAATAGTAATTTAGTGGTAGTGAGTAGTTAAAACAAAAAAGTAATCACATAAAACAAAAAGAAAAATTAATAGCCTAACTATTTAGGAATGCACCTGGGTCCAGATGTAAATCACTGCTCTGTCAATGATAAGCTAAACCTATAAACAAACTGATTTCTTCACTGATGTTCGCCTTTCCTATGCCTTTAAAAAACATATATATACTGGTCACCAACTCAAAGAAAATTACACTCAGATTTTCACTCTCTTGAAGTGTGTCTGTTTGTCATTTATTCGCCGAATCCCTGACCACCCTGCACAATCTCTCAACCCTGAGACGGCCTCATCGTTCACTGCTGTGCTGGTCTGCGGCAGGTGGCGCCCCGGCACATGTGGGTCAGCTCCTTGGCTGGGATCGAACTCATGCTGCAGGGGCTGATGATAGCTTGATAGTGCTGTTTTTAACCCCTGTGCCACCAGGGAGGCCCCTGTGAACATTTTTTTAAAAGATTTATTTATTTATACATACAAGAACTGGAATATAGGCCAGAGGTGCAGGAGGTAAGAGGATTCACCAGAGGCAGAATGGGAAGCAGAACAGGCAGACTGACTAAATACACTGCTGAGGGGAGCAATGGGCAAGACAGGAGAGGTCTGCTGTGACATGTGTGTTGCTCCCTGGCTGGCTGGGATCGACCTTGTGCTGCAGTGGCTGGTGATAGCTTGACAGTGCTTTCTTTAACCCCTGTGCCACCAGGGAGGCCCCCGAAGCCTACACTTTAGGTGCTTTAGCAGTCCATGGACTCCATGGTAAGAACTCTTCTACAACTTTTGCCAGCTGACTCTTCTATGGTGTTAAGGGGATGGGTATTCAGTCTTACTTCCTTTTTTTCTCCTCAGAGAGTAGTGTTTACAAAGCTTATGCTCCCTAACCAAGCAGCTGCAAACATTCTTTCTTTCTTCTACACAGGACTCCAGGGGAAGAATGCAGACGATCAAATGTGTGGTGGTAGGAGATGGGGCTGTAGGTAAGACATGCCTCCTCATCAGTTACACAACAAATGCCTTTCCTGAGGAGTATATCCCCACTGTCTTTGATAACTACAGTGCCCAGACATCTGTGGATGGCCAGATCGTCAGTCTGAACCTGTGGGACACAGCTGGCCAAGAGGAGTATGACCGACTGCGTACGCTCTCCTACCCCCAGACCAATATCTTTGTCATTTGTTTTTCCATTGGCAACCCATCCTCTTATGCCAATGTGAGGCATAAGTGGCACCCAGAAGTCTCCCATCATTGCCCTAATGTACCTGTTCTGCTGGTCGGCACCAAGAGAGATCTTCGGAGTGACCTTGAGACAGTGAAGAAGTTGAAGGAACAGAGCCTAGTGCCCACAACTCCTCAGCAAGGCACCTCCCTGGCCAAGCAGGTGGGGGCTGTGAAGTACCTGGAATGTTCTGCCCTTTTGCAGGATGGGGTACATGAGGTATTTTTGGAAGCTGTCCGGGCTGTGCTTTACCCTGCCACAAAGAAGAACACCAAGAAGTGTGTCCTCTTATAGTTTTCGAGGTGCTACTTGGGGACTGCACCTAAGGAGAATAAGTGACAATTTCTTTGATAGCATTTAACAACACCAACGTGAGCCATTCATTTTTTCTTCTGGAAATCCTTGACTTAAGGTTATTTGGCTTTTGGAGGAATGAAGACAGGCTAGTTTGTATGTGGCTACTCTGAAGTTTGGTCTGAACCTTTTGGAGAAAGTTTGAGGGTGTGTGTGTGTGTGCGCGCACGCACGCAAGTGCCTCTCATGTTGAGGCAGTAAGAGGAGATACCACCAAGAGCTGTTCTTTTCTGTCCTGGCTAGGCCATGACTAAGCAGTGCAGCCTAGTACTGTTCTTTGTTGGCTTTTGCTTGTCTGTTTGTAAATCTGATTTCAGCTTTTCTGGTCATATTTACCAGTGAGCAAGTGCTTCACAGAAAGACAAGTTTCTCCAGTTTTCAAAAATTGTCTTAAACTTTGTGATACACTGTTTTTTGGAAGCCATTTTATGTGTGATTTCTGGGTGTTCCAAATGTTGACAGTTCTTCCCATTCTTGAGGTGAGACATTTCCCTCAAAATAGTTAAGCAGTATTTCCTAAAGTTCTGTGATATGGTCATGTTCCTTGAAAAGAACCGGTGATTTAAATAACATAGAACAGGTTCCTCTACTGCAGGAATTTACAATTTTTTATAAGCAGTGTTTCCCATGTTTATTTCATTGACTGTTCCCATGTGACACCTACTAACATCCCTGGGAATAGTTTCAGAATGCTAGGTTAGCAGGAACCAGGAATTCCCATGGAGGAACCTATGCAGGAAAAAAAGTTCATGCGGTCCCATTCTTTCTTATGTTTCCCTCTTCATGCCTTTGAGACAAATATTGATCAGTCATACATTTGTTACCAGTTCCTCAGCTTTGGGAGTGGGGTTGGTACTTAGTTATGATGGGGCACTGGATGTGTCATCTGATGTCAGATCTGCTATTAGGTTCTGATAGCACTATGGGCCCAGTGATGTGGAAATAGCAATCCCTTCAAAAAGCTGTGTCTCTGAGATTTCTGTGGGGCCCTTTTTTTCTCTTTGCCTCCTGTTTTAGGGAAAGACCACTCAAGTTTAACCCCTTAAATAAAACAAACAATATGTCGTTCTTGTCATTGTCGTGGAATGCTGTGATTCCTTCTGAGACTTCCCTTCTGGTTTCATTCCTGAGTCACCCTCTAAAGGCTATCTTGCTCTCTTCGTGCCCCTCCCTCCCCTGTGTGGCTTTTGTGTGTGTGTGTGTGTTCAGCCCTGTGTATCTTTTACTTGCTCCAAGAGAGTATTTTGGATCCCTATCTCCAGACCCTAGGACTGTTTACTTTGTAGGGATTTTGCTGGGGTGGCTCAGCCTACTCGCTCAGTAAGAGTCAGATTCCATATGCCAGTGGCCTGCTTCTCCTTATTCTCCCTAATTGTATTTTTGACCTTCATTTGATATGGAAGGAAAACTTGCTTCTCTGCCTGGCAGATAGTGGTTGGCAGCTCCACCATGCACATGCCCTCACCTTGCCAAAATAGCATTGAGTTTTTGAGAGATTGGGAAATGGAGCCAAAAGGATCAAATAACTGCCCCCGCCCCCCCAGCCGTGGTGCAGAAGTGTCTGTGGTAGCCTCCTGTTGCTCTTCGACGTGCTAGGATGAGAGTGGCCTTGGGTTAACTGAACTTCCTGGATAGGGTTGCCACATATAATAGTCATCTCTTACAAATAACTTTTTTAGTAGAAGTGTGTACAATGCAATATTTGGGACACACTTCCACTGAAAATTATTTGCTGTTTATCTAAAATTCATCTTACATTTTCATCTGGTAAATCTGGCAACCCTTATCTGGAAAAAGTGAAACCTGGAGGTCAAGCAGGTATCATGTATGGTATCAGTATCAAGAAGGGGAATGTTAAGGAAACTTTCCCTCCATTCCTTCCCTTTTCTCTCAGCATAGATTAAGGTGGGTTTTTTTGGTTTTGTTTTGTTTTTCCTTCATCATTGCACCTTCTACTTCAATATAATACTTCTTGGTGTGTATTTCTACCCCATTGATTTTCTAGCACTGTGGAGGGCCCTGGATTGTTTAATACTTGCCTTTTATCTCAATTTCAATATGTTGTACTGTATTTTTCCAGTGTATAACCCAGGGCCTCCTGTGTGTGTGTGTGTTTGGGGTGGTGGGGTGGAGTGGCAGGGATTCTGTATGCACAAGTGTGTTAACTGGAAGAGGGTCATGGTGGTTGTAGGGTCAGGAATGACCACTGAGCAGGTTTTCTATGATCCAGCAGACCAGGTAAAGGAGGAGTCCGAGTTCTCAGTGGTTTTTGCAGGTTTTTATTGGGATTACCAGGTACATGGCAGGCAGGGGTGCTGGGGGGCCGGGAAGCTGGCAGGCCTGCCAGCCCCCAGCAAGTCTTCACTCTATCTGGGCTCTCCGGCCTTCTCTGCTTCTCTCTCGGCTTCTCTTTCGGCTTCTTTTCGGCTTCTGCTGGCGTCCCCTGACACCGCCCTTAAAAGCCCAGTCTTAGCCCAGGTGAATCCCATCTATGTATGCCCACACCCTACTCTAGGTGCCCGCCATCAGGCATGCATTCAGGACCTCAGGGATCCGTCATCTATCCTGATGGCGGGAGGGCAGAAAAGCCTGACATTTTTCCTAACCCTACAGTGGTCCTCTTCAACTAAGGCCCAGTAGCACTTTGGGAAGTTGAACTGCTGTTAATAGTAGTGTGGTGACCACAGGAATCAATTGGCCTGTGAGCATGTGTGCCCACTGCCCTTGTAGAGAGTCACTGAGTTTTTCCACAGGCAGCCAAATGAACACTTACCATTCAAGGGTGTTATTTAGTCTCAGGATGTTTGGTTGATGCCACCTGGGATGCTATAGGACTTACTGGTTGAGAGGGATTAGAAACATGGCTGTCACCTGTGTCTCTGGGAACGTTTTTAAGCTACTGAAATCTTTTTAATTGGCTTTTATTTTTTTCTTAAATAATAAATTTTATTTTTATATTCCCCATACAATTGCAGCCCCCCCATTCTGACCCCAATCCCTCCCCTCCCGCCCCCCTAAAAATGTCTCTGGTTCATAGTTTTTTGTTGATTTTGATTTTCACTTTCTTATAGTTATTCATTTTCCTGGTCCCTTATTTAAGTTTTCTAGATTCCTGCTATGAGTGAGACCATCCGGTATTTTTCTTTTTCTTTCTGGCTTATTTCGCTGAGCATGATCCCTTCTTGGCTTTTAATTTAATAGTGTCTCCTGCTCCCTCCTTGCCTGGCAAATTCCCAAAAGTAAGCCTGGGTTTGGTTTGGGCAAACTTATGTCTTCTAATAAATGGAGGTGTGATCCCCAAGTCTGGGAAAGTGGTTTTGTATTGGACTGATTTGATGGTCCTAAGCATACACTGACATCTTGATTTTTGTACTTAAAAGGAATTTGTATGAAGATAAACATGCTGATATCACCTTTATTCATTATGAATGATAATAAACTTTTCAGATTTTACTGGGTCTGCTGCTTTCCAAAGATCAAAGCAGTTCCTCACCGTCCACCTTTTCTTTTGAGTGGTCTCTAAATACTTTTCAACTTGCAAAGGATGAAATAACTGCAATTGTATTGTACCCTGTAGTTATGTATAACTTTACTTATTTTTCTATATTAGACAACCAGGGTAGGATACTGTGTGCTCTGCTGCCACTGATTCTTTAGTTCCTGCCCTCCCACCCCTGTTCATTTTCAGGATTTAGCATAATTTCCTGGTTTCCACTAATGACACACTAGTTAGTTCCCTATGGTTATTTTCTCTCACTTAATTACACTACATTCAGCCAACAATTTCAAGCTTCTATTGTACGAGGAATTGGGATTATAAAAATAAGACATCATTTAATGTCCTTTTTCTTCTCCAGTTATCCTCCAGTAATAAAAGTGGACTCATCCTGGCCTGTGATTATATGGTGTGATGGTGCAGTGCATTAATAAGGAAGAGCAAAAGCATGTGGTTTTTTTTGTTTATTAGCAAATAGTCTTATTAAGGTATAATTTATACACTATAAAATTCACCCATTTGGAGAATAGTAAAGGTGGATTTATTGAAATACCCTGAAAGGGAGGGGGTGAGATGGGAGACCCATTTCAAGTGCACAATTCAATGACTTTTAGTCCTGAGTCCTGCAACCATCATCACAGTCCAGTTACAGGTGACCCCAAAGAGATCCCTCTTACAGTTTATCCCTGTTCCCAACCCCCTGGCCCCCCACCACCACCACTAATTTACTTTGTCTTTTATCTATTAGTCTTTTCTGAACATTTCATTTGTCATCAAACAATACGTGGTTATTTGGAACTCCCTTTCATTTAGCATAATATTTTCAAGGTTCATCCATTTTGTAGCACGTTTTTTTTTTGTTGCTGAATAATATTCATTTGTACAGACATACATTTATTCATCAGTTGAGGGGCATTTGAATTGTTTCCATTTTTTCGCTATTATCAATAATGCAGTTGTGAACCTTTGCATACAAGAGTTTATGTAGATACGTTTTCTTTTTTTTTTAAGATTTATTTATTTATACAAGCACTGGGGTACAGGCCAGAAAGAGGCGCAGGAGGCTGAGAGAATTCACCAGAGACAGAGCAGGGAGCAGAACAGAACAGGCAGAAGGACCAAAGTACACTGTTGAGGGGAGCAGCGGGCAAGACAGGAGAGGTCTGCCTCGCCATGTGGGAATCTCCCTGGCCGGCCAGCAATCGAACCAGTGCCACAGAGGCTGCGGACAGCTTCACAGCGCTGCGCTCAACCTGCTGTGCCACGGCCACCTGGGAAGCCTTATGTAAATGTTTTCAACTTGGGTATATACCTGAAAGGAATTGTTGGGTCATATGCTAAATTTTTACAAAGCCCACATTTTGAGTCAGAAATGGCATCTTTTAATATATACAGTATCTGAAGTTCCCTTCCACATTTTACAAATCTTTATTTCTCATAGAATCTGCTTTTTCTCATGACCCAACATCCAAGAGGCAGATAAAGTACATTTGAAAACATTCTATTTTGTTTTGTTTTAAATATTAACATAGCAATAGTATTCTAATTTTTCATTACCAAAGTACAGCAATTCAGCTACTGTGCAGATTTTTTTTTAAAGATTGTATTTATTTATACAAGAACCGGGGTACAGGCTGGATGCTCGGGAGGGTGAGAGGATTCACCAGAGACAGAGTGGGGAACAGAACAGGCAGATTGACGAAATACACTGCTGAGGGAAGCAGCAGGCAAGACAGGAGAAATCTGCTGCACCATGTGGGATTCTCACCAGTCAGCCGGGATCGAACCTGCGCTGCAGAGGCTGTGGACAGCTTCAAGGTGCTGCGCTCAATTGCCTGCGCCACTAGGGGAGGCCCTACTGTGCAGATTTTGGCAGACCTTTGTTATCTGGCCTAGAAATGTATCCACTGTTAAAACACTCCATAGACCTGCCATAAAAAAGAATGCGGCAAATGCCCAAAAATAAGACGACTGGATCAAGATGTGGTCCATATACACCATGGAATATTACTCAGCAATCAAAAAAGATAAACACATGCAGTTTGCAGCAACATGGATGGCGCTAGAAAGGATCATGCTCAGCGAAATAAGTCAGAAAGAAAAAGAAAAATACCGGATGGTCTCACTCATAGCAGGAATTTAGAAAACTTAAATAAGAGACCAGGAAAAAAACTAATCAATACAATGTAAAAATCAAAATCAACAAGCAACTATAAACCAGAGACACATGGGGGGTAGGAGCGGGGAGAGGACGGTCTGGGGGGGGTGCAATTGTATGGGGTATATAACCATAATGAAAATGCACATATTGTGCAGATGAAAAATGATGTAAGAATTATATAAAATAAAATATTAAAAAAAAAAAGAATGAGGAAGGGGCCTCCCTGGTGGCATAGGGGTTAAGTCTCAGCACTATCATGCTATCACCACTACGCCTGAGTTCGATCCCCAGCCGGCCAGGGAGCAACCCATATGGCGCAGCAGACCTCTTGTCTCTCCTGCTGCTCCCCTTAGCAGTGTATTTCAGTCCATCTGCCTGCTCTGCTCCCCACTCTCTGGTGAATCCTCTCACCCCCCACATCTCTGGCCTGTACCCCGGCTCTTGTATGCTATTAAATAAATAAAGCTTTTAAAAAGAAAATAAATACTGATTGCTTTAAATGATATTGCATTAATATTAATTTTTAAAGACTTGACACTGATACTGCGGTTACGTATAAAGTCTGCTTTTAGGGGTGAAGAATCACACCTGCAACCCATTTTCAAGCGCTTCAGAAAAAAAACCACCTGACAAAATGTTAACAATTGATTCTAGGTGTGGGGGTCGGCTGTACATTTATTTCCACATTTCCCTAAATAAAACGGGGAGGGGGGAGTCGAGTTTTATGGGGAATTGTCAATTCAAAACAACTATCAAAGGTACCTTTGGCCCAGTGCATTTACCGCCGATTTCTCTTTGCGACAGAGCAGTGAAGCAGCTGACGGCACGGACTAGAAGGACCAGTTCTAATCTTTCCGGTGCTGTGCGTGGTGAACCAAGGTTACCAGCACGTAGTCCACGTGACCCAGACAGCTCCTTCCGATAGGAGTAAAGACCCCATCGCAGTGCGAGACTAGTGCGTTCGCGAGTGAAAGGGGGCGGGACCGCACATTTTCATTGACCAATGACTTTCTACATATCCAGCCTCCTGATCATGTATGGGCGAATCAAAAACCGTTAGTAAAGTAGTGACACCACTTCTTTCTCGTAGGACGGACGGCCTTTCCGGTTATTCTTTGTTAATTCCGCTTCCGCAGAGGCTGGTAGCGTCAGGTAGCCCTGTTAGGCACTTCAGGGCGACTGATGTTTTTATTTCCGGTCTATGGGACCAGGCTGGGATTTTCTCCTCCGCCCGCGGCAGCCGCCATCATGTCAGACACGGACAGCGACGAAGATTCGGCCGGAGGCGGCCCATTTTCTTTAGCCGGGTTCCTTTTCGGCAACATCAATGGAGCCGGGCAACTGGAGGGGGAAAGCGTCTTGGACGATGTGAGGGGGTGGGCGTGGGGATAGGGCGGGGTGGTGCGGCCAGGGAGAGTAGACTGAGGAAGGACTGGGTGTTGAGCATAGGGGAATAGAGGGTGATGTGGTCCTCCCTCTGCGAGAGGGCGCAGTTATGAGGAAACGGGAAGCGATTTTGTGCAGTAACGTAGTGAGGAAGCTGAGTTTGGGGCGCGGATGGGGAAAGGGAGACCTCTGCGGAAGCCTCTGCGTGTCGGGTGCTGGTGGGGGTGGTTTTGCAGATAGCGTTCGTCCTGATCAGGCAGTAGGAAAAAGAATTGCTGTGGGAAACTAGGAGGTTCTTGAAACTTCGCATTTCTGACATCGCTGACCTTAGGTGGCTTTAGAGCCAGGGGACTGGACAAAACCTGTAGCAAATCATGTGGTTCAGGCCCCAGTTTTTGGAACAGTGAATATTCAAACCATCTGGGGCACAGCTCTTCAGTTCCCAATGAACTTCTTAAGTAGTTTTCTTAGTTGTTCAGTGACATTCATGAATTTATTCTCCTCCAGTTGGTACACCTTCGTTACTTTAGGTAGTAAAATGATACTCATTTTCTCAAGGAGAAAGTACTGACTGATGTTCTTTCCCTGCAAACACACCCCCACACACAAGATAGCAAGAAAATTGTACTTGCCTCTGTAATCTGAATGACCTTAGTTGCTTTAGCCTTTTTTTTTTTAAGAGAACTGCCGTGCCATTCATTTAGTCCTGGTGGTGGTCTTTTTGATTAATCTTTCGTATTACTTTAAGGTGATGAAATTGAACTTGCTATCTTAATAGAGGCCTGATCCGCGTGGATTTTAGTGGAAGATTTAAAGTTCTGGAATGTGATCCTCCTTTTAGCACATGCAGATTCATCTTTCATGTGGGTCTATAGCTTTATTGTGGACCACGGAAATAAGTCTTATATGGTGTGGGAGGCTTCAGTTCAGTTGTCTTCAATTCTGATGCTATCCCTTTTTCAGGAGTGTAAGAAGCACTTGGCAGGCTTGGGGGCTTTGGGTCTGGGCAGCCTGATCACTGAACTCACGGCAAATGAAGAATTGACTGATGGTGCCTTGGTAAACGAT